ACTCGTGAAGTGGCCCTCCAGCCAAAATAATTGCCCACTCCTACCGTAGATGGACATTGCATTCCTTCTCCTGCAAGCAGAGGAGGACGTTCCGGACAGGCTTCTTGGAGGAATCGCCAGTTACCTCGGTGGAGATGTTACGTGAGGGTGGGAGGAGGAACTGTTACACATCCCTGTAAAACAGGTGCAAGGCAGCGTCTTAGCCTCGTTTCTTTATACCCTTTGTACCAGCGGTACTTTTTAAGCCGAAAGCCGCTTACGGACGTGACCAAACTTGCGCGGGCCGCACTTAGAAAAAAATTTATACTAGTACAAATTAAAAAATCCAGTCAGCCCAAATATCACTCATACAATGGTATTTATTAGCATAACAGAGACTTACACGCAAATTCACTAATTTGGGAAAAATAATCCAAATAATTATAGATAATACATTTTAAAAAGAAGGAAATCAAAGAACTCAGGGACTAAGTTCGTGCAGGATGGGAGGATATAGGGGGAAAATGAATGGGGAAATGAAAACATATAGAGGTAATTAAGAGTAAGAATATTCGGTCAGAGCCAACAAAAAAAAACACATTTCACTACCCATTTGAACAGGGATGGAGGAAACGACTGCCGAAATGGGTGGAGGGAAAGGGGACAGTGGGAGAGGGGTGTGATTGATAGGCGAAAAGATAAACAGAAGGAAAAAGAGAAAGGGTTTTAAAACGTCAGGGTTCATTGTGAGTTTATTTTCGCTGCAAAGTACGTTTAGTCTTCGCGGGCCGCAATTTGAGTACCGCTGCTCTATACCGATCGTCTCCGTCCGTCGCATTCAAACGCCACCATTAAATGCACCGATTACTCCGCGATTGCATCAAACTCAATCACATCAGAAGACTTTAGTCTTTAGGCGGCTTCGACGTGATTTAGCGTTAATGACTCACGAACAGATCGCCAGCGTATTCGAGGTTAAGGTGATTTGACTCCGAACTCATTAAATATACAATGACTTCATTGTGACAACCAGCTTGGAAAGAGGCTAATCATAAGTACCAGAAGATGGGGGTAGATTCTATATCAAAATCTGTTTCCTTAAATAGTCTCTAGGTAGCATATACTAGGTGAACAATACCTGAATATGAACAAGAGTGGGGTGGGACGACAGACAGCGCACAATCTCCAACAATAACTTCAAGGGTTCACTGAATGTCCTGCGTCTTCTCCAGGGCTTCTCCACCCTATTCTTCAATCCGACTTCTTTTCCGACTCGCTCACTTGACGCACACACCGCGACTCTCCCGCGCGGCCCTTTTATTTCGTTATGTCGGACATATGCATTATCTTTTCTGCATATGCATCATCTTGATAAAAAGTACCCCCTACTAGTCTTTATGCTGCTGAAGTCCAACATCACATCGAGTGGCCCATCTCAGAAGGCTGGCGTCTATATCTTGACATGCCAAGAGCTTATTGTTACCAATAAAGGTTTAAAAAATCCAACTCTTTCGAAGCTCGGAAATCATCATGTATGCATTAGTCAGTTAAGAAATTTGGTTTGTCAAGAGAAAGATAAAATATGTAGGAGTGATGAATTCAAATTCAATGGACATGTGCATTCTACGTCCAATGGGGGGGGGGGGGGGGGTTGGTTGTTGGGGACAGTTCTTATGACCTGCCTTTCAAATGTCTCCGAATGTCAGAATTTGTTATCAAATCAGAAGATGTATAAGCTACAAAAACAATACCTAAGCGATGTGATACTCGTAAACACAGAGAATGAAACGAATCAAAATTTATGAATTGGTGAAAACGGAATTTAAGCAGTAAATGATCAAAGCACCCTCGATATCTCGAAAGAAATAAAAAAGTTAAAAAGGATGAACATTTTGGGATTCAGCCCAGATTTCACTGCGTAGACTTGCAACTGGAAATTTGCTAACCTATATATAATTCACACCCTTCATCCGAATCATCGTCCTTCCGTTTTCGAAAAAATTCAACAGCGTGTACAGGACGTTCCTTAACATTTTCATTCTACTATAGCGAGTAGCCACATGTGGCTGGCGTGACCTTTACTTTTCACCTCCCATCTTTGTCGTTTCTAGCCTCATCTCAGGTCGTTCGCTCATGATGTCTCTGCATTCCCCCACCCTTGAAGGTAGAGGGGGATGGAGCAGAGAGATCCTATCATCAGCAGGGGTTGGGGGGGCTTTCTGGGGGTTCAGACTCTTTGAACCCTTGGTTGCACCAGTGGCATGGTCATAACCGAGGTTACTCTTTTCCAAATTTTTGAAACTGATGAGCTCGAAAGTCCAACCAGCAACTGAAGATAAGGGTAAGATCTATCGGGGACGGTGTTTTCTCTCCCTCCATCCTCACTCATCCTCCCTTAGTCACGCACATTGCACACGCATAAGATCCTTCAGGATTCTGTTTCTAGAAAAAAAAAAAGTTGTAGGTTTCCAGATGTCGCTCCCAAAAGGAATTTCCAGTTATTGAGGAGCATTATGAATTTATGACTCAGCAAGGTTCACAAATTTTTTTCTTCAAAATTTTCACATTTTTGGCTTAGCTATAATCTCTCGCAATAACCAAAGTCACAGAAAGCTAGGTGTAAATACACATATCTCATGGGTGGCGGGAATCAGGCCATATTCGACGGCATAACTGAGACCGCACTGCCCTACATGTTTCATCCGCTCTTGAACATGTTAGACTGATACGAGCCATTCCTGCCGTCTCTCTACTTTCGACGCAGTGTCATCCAAATGCCAAAATGGAGATGATGGTCTAGGCCTGCTTCCCGCGGAGCTGCGTTGGCAGTCGGTCACGAATCAAGGATCCTCATTCCAGTTGTGATTCGAATCTCAGCACTGTTGCACTCTATTTCATTAAAGTCTGACGTGTCACGCTTGACAAATCTCAATGACGTTGCAACAGATATGCAATGTACAACGACTATGTTTAATTACTATATGCGAGTAAGGATAGCATTACTGGTACGGCAGTGTAATTTGGTGAAGTTCAGCAACTTCACTGGTGAGCAGTGGCATAGCGTGGTTGCCATGGGCCCTGGTGCAAGGAATGAAACTGGGCCCGCTGTCCAATTTCTTACAATTGAATTATGTGGGAGTCATTTTTTAAAATAGATTTTCTCCGGCAGCATATATAAATCGTTGTCGGTAGCTGAAGTCGTGGAAGCCAGTGGCGGATACAGAAATCTTTAATAGAGGGGGACTGTTTCCTAGTTCCCAGCCCAGCCCACCCTCCACCCTCATCTACCACTGCCCACTGTCTTATCACCTTATTCCTTTTTCGTCTGGGGTAAAAACCCTGAATATCTATTCACAGAAGCTAATAAACATTCATTTATGTGCTTTCTACATTAAAAAAAATAGACCGAACTTGATCAGGGGAGGGGCAGTCGCCCCCCCCCCCCCCCCCTTACCCCTGCTACTTAACGCAAATACTTAAGGTGATCAATTTCCTTCGAGGACCCCCTGGAAAAGTGGGACTTGGGTATTGCGAGAGATTATAGCTAAGCCAAAAATGTGAAAATTTTGAAGAAAAAAATTTGTGAACCTTGCTGAGTCATAAATTCTAACGAGAGTGCATGGTGAAATAATTTCCCGTTGCAATGATATCCGAATACCTACACTAAGGCGCAAAAGTCTTTCCCTCCCGTATTTCAATTAATTCTCAGGGTGGGTGGGATGAATATCAAAACCACCCTTTATCCGGCCCTGGGTGAATGGTATTGGAAGTGGCCACCACTTCATTTAACCACACGAAGCGGCGTCCCAATTGGGAGATGTTTCTGTGCAGCAGTGTCGCGTTGAATTCCTTTGCTTCCTTTTGACCTTCCTTTCCGGCTGGTGGCTCTCATCTCGTCCCGGTGCCAAGGGGCTCCCAGCTAACGCTTCGTGGCTCGGCGTCTGCTCCCGTCTGGGCCCCTCTGGCCCGTGGGTCCCGGTGCAGTCGCACCGCCTGCACATTCGGTAGCTACGCCACTGCTGGTGAGCAATTAAATGCTGTTATTCATTGAGAGGATGCAGATGAGGCCACTTCGAGGCCCTCGAAGTCTATAGAGTGGCCGAACAATAACTGCCTGATTTTTTACTACAACAGAAGTTGTAGTAAGCAATACTCGTGCTTTTCTTTAAATACTGTCTTCGGTATTTATATGAGTATAATAATTATGCTGATGGACCTCGTTTACCTGGAATAACGAGAATTGTCGACGTTGCCGTTTTGGCATTTCTGAGTTCTGGTGGCAAGATGTCCTACTTATACATTTTTTGCTCGAATTAACGATGAGACCGACATTTAGATTCAATTTATGCACAGGTAGCTGAAATGCCATGACAGTAATAGCGGCAGTGTGAATCTTCTGACTTCTTACGCAACACTTAATCCTGCCAAGTGCGAAGTGATTCACTGAGCTCAGTCGTTCTGCGCGTTCAAGCTTCCCGCCCCTTTGCGCTTGAGCGGCACTCCTTCCATGCCATGCCTCTTCTTCCTCTATTCCCAACATGTGCTGTGAAAACTTCGGCTCTGATCCAGTTACTCGGGACTGTGGTCATCGCATTCTCCATGTGACACGGCAATTAGAATTGACTCATGACTTTTCGCCTTAGTTAACCAAGAACGAACTGAGTATTGGCTTAGAAATGCTCTGCGTGATGCGGTCTACGACAGATCTGACTGAAAGTTCAGCGGGCTCGCCACCTTGTAGTGCGAGGATGTAGTCGATGGAATTTGTGGTCGTAGCTGGATTAGTGACGTATCTCTAGCTTAGGCCTATGCCTGGAAAGTGTTTAAACCCTATTGCCTCAGTTACCACGCCAGGTTTAGGGATGCTAATGGATTGGAGTGGGTTCTGCAGGTTGTGAAGTGAGCGATCACGAGTTAGCATACTGCCTGTTAAAGCCCTTTGGTAGATTTGTTGTCCTACAGGCTTGAGATGAGAATATATATATACATTTTTTTTAGACTTATACCCAGGTGTCATTAGAATGATTGGTATGGACTTCCTGTGTACCACAGATGTAGTCTGCAGATAGCAATTTCAAGTTCATCTGGTGTTAATTGCTTGAAATGGGGATCTGAAGGGGATGCTATATTCTTAAGGGGCAGATGGTGGGAAAAGATTCCAAATGGATCTATAACTGGATTCAAAGGTTTCTGATTGATTTATGACAGGGAAATAGGAAGAAGGAACTACAACTCAACTGACACTCCACTTCCCAAGATGAGTTAGGCCCTTTGTTATCCTACTCTTTTTGAGGACAACTTTATTTCAACCTGACTGACCCCATCAATTCCCAAAATGTGTGTTTACACTCATTCAACCTAATACCAGAAGCAACCAAGAAATTTTGTGGTGAGATTAGTCATGATGTAAACCTGAGAAGATGATGCAAAAGTAGGTAGATAGAAGTAGGTAGGTAGAAGAGTGTTCCAACTTAAAAGTCTATATGTGTGTATGCACCTAGAGTGATGAATTCTCATTGCATGGCTAGTCTAACCTTAAAGTTTTTAGAAGATTCAATGTTCAGACTTTTCTGAATAAACTAGAACTAATTAGAATTAATTTGTATTAGTTAGTCCTTGATTCAATCTGGTTGAAAATTTACACTGGTTTATGCAGTGGTGAGCAGGTATTTCTGCTCTCTTTGGCCACTTTTTTCCCAAATTACATCCAGAGTGGGATAGTTATCAGGCAACAGGCCATGTACCATCACATACATTTCCATGTGGTCAAAGCTGTCATTTGTCAAAAAAAACAACTTTCTTTAAAATACCTTGCTATTATTGTCTCCCTTTTTGATGGGCTTGGGAGCAGCCTCATTTGCTCACACCAGTGATTATTGAAATGGACGTATTCCTTAAACAGACACCTTTCATTTTTATCCTTCGGATGAATTCCTGTTCCTGATATGGGATTGGGATTCACATTTAACTTAAAGAATTCATTTTTTTCCTCTGGGAACCTACTTACCTGGACAGGGATAAAAATGTGGGATGTAGTCATTATAGTCTTATTCCTAATGCAACAATAAGTTTCACTCAAGTGAAACTGCTGGAACTTGTGAATATGAATGTGTCAGGTGTAAAGTGCTCAAGGAAAATGCATTATGACAGCTGATGTAAAGTTGTGCCAGAGGAGGAAGGAAGCTTCTCTGCTTGCTTTTCATTTGCCAGGCTGTTTTTATTTATCACACTGTAACACTGCAGGCAAGTAGTAATATTATAGGCTTGTCTTCCATCATTACGAGTGATTCAGATGCTCTTACTTCAACACCAGATTATTCTTCCACTCTATTCTACCTAAGGAATTTTCAACTACTAGTCTTCTCTCACAGTTTGCATGATCATATGGGCAAACCCTGTACCTGAAATGATGGGAGATGCATACATTTTTATACTTAAATTTACTTTTGTGCATCCTATACATGCACTCCTTAGTGAAAAATAGTATTTGCACTTATTACTTGCAGGAATTAAAATGCTAAAAAATCATTTCTCCACATTCCTTTATTTGAGGAA